AAAGCCCGTTGGCTCTTGCCAGCGCTAACTCGCTTTTCTTTTCTACTTCCAGAACCGCATGTTGTGTCCCAGAGCCGCACAGTATGTCTTTGCACTGAGATCGGACTGAAGACCTCTGCAGCCAGCGCTGGAGGAGAGGCCCCGTTGATGTGCATTCCTGTCTGAGCTTTCCCCGGTGGCTGGCGGGCTGGTGCTACCAGAAGGGCTTTGGGGGTCTTTCACTTTGGTGCTGGGGGTGGGTTTTTGGGTTGTTTTTTGTTTTTTGTTTTTTGGTTTTTTTTTTTTTTTTTTAGTTTGGGTTTGGTTTTGTTGTTGTGCTCTGGGCACCATGTCAAATTCGGGCTCCCATCAAGACACTGGGAACAAGCCAGAGACAGAAAAAAATAACCAAGATGACTCTCAACCCCCCGTCAACTCCGAGAGGAGGAACAAAAGTGGAATAATAAGTGAACCTTTGAACAAAAGTCTTAAGAAGTCCCGTCCACTCTCCCACTATTCCACCTTTGGTAGCAGCAGCTCGGTAAGCGAACATTCAGAGAAAGGCAACCCCTTAGCTAATGGCAACGAAGCGACTGTGGATAAAAGTCATTCTACCTCAAAGCACAAAAACATCTCTAGTATGCTGAGCAAATTAGACCGGGTGTCGGAGATCTCCTCAGAAGGACAGACCGCCCTACAACAATTTGCTCAGTCGACAGAAATGCTCAAAAGAGTGGTACAGGAGCATCTTCCTCTCGCAAGCGACCACGGGACTGGTATCTCTGACATGGAGGCAGTCTCAGCTGCAGAGACAATGAACGGCCCCTCTGATTTTCCTTACCTGGGGGCTTTTCCCATCAACCCAGGCCTTTTCATTATGACCCCTGCCGGCGTGTTTCTGGCAGAGAGCGCGCTCCATATGGCTGGCTTGGCAGAATATCCCATGCAGAATGAGTTGGCATCTGCCATCAATTCGGGGAAAAAGAAACGGAAAAGATGCGGCATGTGCCCGCCCTGCCGAAGACGGATAAACTGCGAGCAGTGCAGCAGTTGTAGGAATCGCAAAACTGGCCACCAGATTTGCAAATTCCGAAAATGTGAAGAACTCAAAAAGAAGCCTTCTGCAGCACTGGAGGTAACCGGCCCCTCTCAGGCACCCTAACCCCTCCTCGGGCTGCGCTCCTGGGTTCGGATCTTGCCCTAGATAATAAAACACCTGGTACTTCTTACTTTTTTATTTTTCCCTTTTCCATTAACAGTTCTCACCGTGAGATGCGTGCTCTGCCCAGCGCCCCCAGTCCCCACCCTCCCTTACATACTGGGGTTGACTGGCTTGGGGAGGAGGGCTGGGGTCTCTCCCTGGGGTCCCTGGGCGCGCTGGGCTTCACTCTCCCCTTTGCAGGCATGGGCAGCAGCGGGTCTCTGCTTGCGTTTCGGTGCCAGCATCCCTTGTCCTGGGGGGGGCTGCAGCACCCTGAGCCATGGAGCAGCTTCTGACCCGGCGACTGGGTCAGAGGACGGGGAGGCAGGAGG